GATAGATAGATAGATAGATAGATAGATAGATAGATAGATAGATAGATAGATAGATAGATGTGATTTAAAAATTTAATACAAGCTTCCCAAGTGATTGCAACATGCAACCAGGGTGGAGACCACTGTGTCATAGTGAAAGTGACATACTCAAAGCCAGAGGGCTGCTTAACACAACCGCCAAAGATGCCAGGTCAGGCAGCCTCAGACTGCTAGGCCAGGGCTACTAAAGGCAGCTGTAAAGCTAAACTGGGTTTATGCTGAGACAGGAGCTTGCTTTCAAAATCTCGCTTGGACTAGATACTCTTTTTGTGGCTGTGACACAATCCCAGACGAAAACCTAAAGGAGGTTCAGTCTGGCTTCCGGTCTAAGGGGATATGGTCTATCACGGTAGGGGACGTCTTGACAACAAAAACACTATGTGGCCAGTCACAGGGCTTCCACAGCTAGGGAGAGAGAGATGACCGCTGCTGCTCAGCTTGATTCTCCTTTATTCAGCCCGGGGCCCTGGTCTACGAATGGTGCTGTAAACATGGAGGGTTCCTCTTTCCCCTTCAGTTAACCTACCAGAGAAATCCCTCACAGACATGCCCAGAGCTTTGCCTCCTTTTAAGTCTAAATCCCATGAAGTTCCCAATCAACATCTGCCGTCACAGCACCTTTGCCCTGACCAGCGCTGGAGATGGTGTCCTTTCTTAAGATTTATTACTCTATTTTAATTATGTGTATGCCTGTGTCTCCATGTGGGTGTGTATGTGTGAGCATGGAGTGCAGAAGAGTCAGAGCCCCTGGAGCTGGAGTTACAGTAGATATGAGGCATCCCATGCAGGTACTGGGAACCAAACCCGGGTCTTCTGCAGAGCAACGCACATTCTTAACCACTGGACCAGCTCTCTAGCTCTGAAACACTGGGTCTTAATGGCATGAAGAATGGTGTGTGAGTCCATGTAAGTCAGCGTACTACACTACAGAGCCTTCCTGTCTGCACAGGACCCTCCGCAAAAGAAGAAAGAAACACCAAGCCTCTTTTGCAGGATCACACAGGCCAGGCATCTCCCAGGAAACCGTCTGCTCCCAAGACATTCCAGGGGACATTCTGGAACCCACAGCTGGGCCGGACAGAACAGAGCTGTGGTCCTCTCCTTTCCAGCTATTCACATAGGCACCAGGCTCTGAATTCCCAGCCCACACATCACCTCAGGAGCCAGCAAACTTTTCTTAAAGTCCAAAGAACAAATAGCTGGGTCTTTGCGAGCCCAGTGCTGTTGTTACAATGCGAAAGCACCCGAGGGCATTGGGACGTGTGGGTGTGGCTTGCTCTGGTGCATTGTCTCTATTCATAAGAACAGGTAGCAGATGGAGTTAGCCCACCAGACTGGTTGGCACACCCCTGCCAGTAGATTACAACTTCTTGACAGACACAAGTGTTTTCTTGTCCCTCGGCTGCCCTGCTCTCGTCACAGTAAATAGAGAAGAACAGGCTTCCACCAGATGCCAGATGAATGGGCGGATGAATGAATGGATGGACAGACAGGTGCAACCGACCCCATCATGCTAAAGGAGCATCTTGTGAGAACCTGCCTGAGCCAATCACGTTAAAGGAGCAGCTATTAGGCATCTACCAGTTCCTACAGAGAAACTACAAAGATGGGGTGACTCAAACATATACACGGCCATGTAACCTGAATCTCTAGGTGTTTTGTTTTAGGGAGATGCTGGGGATGGAACCCAGGGCCTTGCACATGCTAGGTAAGTGCTCTTCAACTGAGCCACATCCCATCTCTGGACCATTTTAGCTTTTACTCATCTTCACATCACTCTCCTTACGAGGACAACGGGAGTCATCCTCATCAAGGATTACATCCCCAACAAGAGCATTCCAGCTAATTTGTACAATAGGCCCAGGCCTGCAAAGTGGGGCAGCAGGATGAGAGTGGGGTGACAGGAATACAGGCTGGTGGTAGTCATGCTAACTATGCACTGTACATACTAACTAGGCACCATACATACTAACTAGGCACCATACATACTAACTAGGCACCATACATACTAACTAGGCACCATACATACTAACTAGGCACCATACATACTAACTAGGCACCATATATACTAACTAGGCACCATACATACTAACTAGGCACCATACCTACTAACTAGGCACCATACCTACTAACTAGGCACCGTACCTACTAACTAGGCACCGTACCTACTAACTAGGCACCGTACTTACTAACTAGGCACCAGTACAAGCAAGACAAGGAGAAATAGGTGAAGGCAGGAGACGGGTGGTGGCTATTTGAGAGACTCCAGAGGAAGGTCTCCGGGCCACTCGATTAGGAAACACTCCACCCTGGCACTCAGCAGGGCAAGAAAAAGCAAGGAGCTCGTCCCCCAAGATAAACACTGTTACATCCCCACACTGTGGAGGAGGGGTGATATACATCACTCCCTCCCCGATGCTGCTGAGAGTCACAAAGGAAGCCTGAGTGTGAAATCATAAAGAAAACATACAATAGGGCTGGAGAGATGGCTCAGTGGTTAAGAACATTGCCTGCTCTTCCAAAGGTCCTGAGTTCAATTCCCAGCAACCACATGGTGGCTCACAACCATCTGTAATGGGGTCTGGTGCCCTCTTCTGGCCTGCAAGCATACACACAGATAGACCATTGTATACATAATAAATAATAAATAAATATTTTAAAAAAAATAAAAAAAAGAAAACATACAATAATAACAGCAACAATCTATCTTCTTTCTGAGTGGCTCATTCCTGCTGTGCCTCGGTGCCCCTCTTCTCGCCGTTGATTGTTAGCCTAGCAGCGTGGGTCAGGCCACCCTCCACCATGCTTGCACATGCCGAGCAGGGCCGGGGGAAAGCTGGGGATAGAGATGCCACCGTGGTACCCGTGAGCCTTCAGAAATCACTGGCCTTTGGGAGCCATGAGAGTCAGGCTGAGTCCAAAAACAGAGACATGAAAGGCTGCCTTACGCCAACCTGAAGGGTCCCGATCGTTCACTTAACAGTAGTACCATGGACCCTGAGGTGAGTCTGGGGACAGTGGCTGGAGAAGGACCTTGCCCCTCAGCATCTTCACACATTACAACACACCAGCTTCTCATATGGGAACCCTCAGCAGATAGCTCAGAGTCCTACCAAGCTGCTATGGGAGAGGCCGTCAAGGGTCCGTAAGTTTAAGGCTGGGTCTCTAGGGTGGCGTTTCTGTGCGGTAACAGAACCTTTGAGAAGTGGGGCTTTATGAGGGGTCCGTAGGTCACTGGAGGCATTCACCTCAAAGAGGATTACATCACCCTAAATCTCAATTTCCGCCAGGAGTGTTTGCTGCTGGGAGACAAGAGAATAGGCAGAGGGCATCTTCCTAGGGGAGGCTGGAAAGGAGAGCCGGCTTCCAGAGCATTCTTAGGCAGAGCAGCTTTATGGAGAGGAGTGTATGCAAGCGGACGGCCTAGAAACAGCTACTGCTCTCTATGTACCTACGTAAGCTTGGGGATCTCTGTGTTCTCTGAGGACAGACCCTTGTGTGACAGCTCAGACTCAGGCGATGTCAGTGAGGTCCCACCCTAAGACAAGTTTTCCCAGATCAGCGGACTAGAGAGACAGCAGATGGGAACCGAGCTCTGCCGGACTAAGAGAGAAAGCTCACAGTATGCACTGGCTGATACAGCCATGCAGTTGGGAGTCTACCCCACTACCGTGAAGTACCCATGTTTGGGAAATAAAACCTGGGAGTGCGAAATGGCTCAGTGGGAAAGGAGTTTTCCTCCAGGCCTAATGACATGAGTCTGACCCTCTGGTCACATAGGGTGAAAGGAGGACATGGCCTGCAAATGGCCCTGCAACCCCCACATGAGCGCTGTGGCACAGGTATGCTCACACACAAACACAAATTCATGCAAATACTCTTTAAAGAAAAGTAAAATATGAATTAAGCCTCTAGGTGAATTAACTCTTGGCTGGAGATCAGCAAAAGAACAAGTGGTAAACACCACAGGAAAGGAATCCACCAAACCCAGAATGTGGAACGTTCTAGAAACAAAGACCTAGTTTCTCCAACAAATTACCAGCTTAGGACATGGGATAAGGGAAGGCTTGAGAGACTCAGAAAACATGGCCAACAAATCTTCTGTGGATCCCAGCTCCTGCAGAATAATCTTACAGGTCACTTGGGAATGACAGAGGGAATGTGCATACGGACTGAGCGTTTGATGACAGCAAGGGATTACTGTTTGCATTTTGGTAGGTGTGACAGTGGCATACTGATTATGGTTTCACAAGAAGTCACTCAGTTTGAGATACATATTGAATTTCCAGGTGAAATTACATGGATCTGGATTTGCTTTCATAAAACATTCTGAGCTCCCAAGAAGGCTGCAGGGAGACAGATGGGATGAGGTTTGCCAAATGTCAATCACGGCTGCAGGTGGGTGATGTGCACCGAGGATATAGATTATGATTTTTTTTTTCCTTGTTGCTTCAGAGTACCAAAAATAAAAAGTCCCGGGGCTGGAGAGACGGTGAAGCAGGCAAGCATACATACTGATCTTACAGATGACAAGTTTGATTCCCAGCACCCACAAGAGGAGTGTCACAACCTTCTGGAACTCCAGCTCCAGTGAGATTGGATACTGCTGACCTAAGGGGGACCTGCATATACCACGAGCACCCCCCCACCCCACCCCCCCGCACATTACATGATTCAAAATAAAAATAAATCCTTTAGAAAGTCCTTCAAGAAGAGAGAAAGGAGATGTTTAATTCATGTTATTTATCAGGCTAGGCCCTCCCCGGATGTTATCTTATTTTTTAAGTCTCTTTTCCATCGAAAGAGTAGAGAGTACCGAATAAGCCGGGAAATGAACACAGTCAGCAACAGGAGGAGGTGTCGGCTCTCATAGGAAGCACATCTGGACTATGTGAGGGGCTGGCAGCCCCGGGTAGGCAAAGGTTAGGATCAACACATTTCACCCACTAGGAGCGACTCACCCCTGCAGCAAAGCCCAGACTTCCGTCTAAGATCCGCCTCTGAAAATGAAAAAGTGAGATGTTTCAGTTTCCAAGGACAGGATGATGGACATGATGATGTGGCCTCAGCAGGAACAGTGCCACACAACCCAAAAGAGTCACTGGCCTACTCCTAAGCTGGTGGTGACCTCCAGTCTTACAGAATGGGCCAAGGGGGTGACAGGAATCAGCTAAACATTCCATCCAGTCCAGAGTCAATCAGAAGTATCCTTGGCAGGGGGAGGGGGTTTTGGGGTGCATGGGCCACTCAAGCACCCATATGGAAATGACCAAGGGCTGGTAAGGAACATAAGAAGCAACCAAAATGGTCACACAGGTGGGGACATAAACTGGCACAACCATGTCACACAGAAAGCCACATGGTGGGACTAATGGCAGTCAACTACAGTACACATGCCACTATTGAGAAATGACAGAAATGCATGCTGGGAATCACCAAACCCATGAACACTGTGCACTGTTCATAAGACCCCAAAACCAGAAACTACACCAAGTCCCACCCACAGAAAGACAGATACAGCGAGGAGGACAACCAACTACCACAGGGTGAAGAAATCACAAAGAACACACTGTGTGCATGCATGTGTGTATAGACAGGCATCGACACATGTACACAACAGACAGAAGCAGTGGGTAGACTGGGAACTGAACAGGGTGAACTCAGCCAGACACCAAACAGTAAACGCTACGTGAGGCTAGCACCTCACAACAGCACCCAGACGGGAACGTCTACACTGTGGGGACACGGGACACAGGCAGGGTATCATACATGGAATGGAAGTCCAGGTCAGGGAGGTAACTGGGAAGGATCCTGAAGAAAATATGAGGAGCTGTCACTTGATCTCAGCCCAGATTCATGGGCCTTTACAAAATAATAAACTGCATAGGTATAAAATGTGCACATCTGTTCCAATTTACTCTGCGTCCATCACGTACAGCAGACAATCTCTTGTGGTCTGCACATACGATGTAATGTTCTTCAGCATTAAAAAGGGAAGATGCCCCCATTCTGGGACAGTGTGGATGAACCTCATGGACACCATGCTAAGTGAGACCGTGGTCCTGGCATACAGGGCTTCTCCGTACCCATTTAACATCCTCATGGATGAACCTCATGGCCACCATGCTAAGTGAGACAGTGGTCCTTGCACACAAGGCTTCTCTGTGCCCACTCAGCAACCTCCCTCTTCCTCCCTCCCACTCCTCTCAGCTTCTGGCAAGGGCCATTTTCTATCTGTGAATTTGACCTAACTAGGTGTCTTACACACCGAGATCTTGGATGCCTTATAGTTCCTGATTGTGTAATTTGAGATCCAAGTCTCCACATGATAGATTTGGGCCAACCAGCCTCCCCAGTTAAGGTGGAGGCAGCAGTGTGGGAGGCGGTACCTTATTGCTGAAGCCAGTACCTGCCAAACTGGTCTATAACACATGGGGCCTGAGACACTGACTTTTCTAGAGTTTTCCTTTCTAGATCCAGGGCTCTCTCCATGGGCCACCCTTAAAGCATCTCCAAGTGCCCCGAGCAAAGCAAGGATTATATTCTTCAAGACAGCCATGAGTGACCCGGGGCTGCAGATGGCAGGGTTGGAGGAGAGTGGAATTTCAGGCTTAGGAGGTGGGTATGGGCTATGCCTGTGGTATAGAGTGTGGGAGGGTGTATGTTGAGGGCAGAGGAGGATGTAAGGATGTGGAGTGTAGAGGAAGAAGGACAGGAAGATATAGGAGATCTCGTGAGAATGTGGGGCCAGAATGTACGACATGAGAATGAATGGAGGTACTGGGGGCTATCCGTAGGTCGTGCGGAGGAGAATGAATGGAGGTACTGGGGGCTATCCGTAGGACGTGCGGAGGAGAATGAATGGAGGTACTGGGGGCTATCCGTAGGATGTGTGGAGGATATATGGGACAAGGATTGGACAGACACAGTATGCACCTTGGCGAGGAGTTTATCTGTACTCATCTAAGAGAAGATGCATTTGAGGTAAGGGTGGGCTTACATGAAATCGGAAGAGAAAATGAGGAAGTGGGACTACCTGTATTCATTCGGGGGATAGAGGTAGGCAGATAGAAGTCTGCAGTGGTTAAGGAGGTGAGCCTGTCAATATTTAGCCAAGGGGGAGGAACGAAATGCCCTGGGCGGGGGTAGAAGAGAAGCAGATCTCTTCCTCCCTGCAAGGTCTAACTAACCAATTGTCTAACTAACTCAAGGCCACAGGGAGGGCAGTTCCATCTGAAACCTAATCAGCTCGGATCCTGCACAGTACACCCTGCTCCAGGCATGCAGGAAATTAGATGGAAGCTCGGAATGAGGCAGCAAGTTAATGGAGGTGAAATAGCAAGTCACTCGGTGCCACGCCCTTTTGAGCTGGGGTGCCAGAGGCAGGTGAGGGCAAAACAATGTGTGGCTTGTGTGCCACCAACAGGTGCCTACCTCCTGACCTAGTAAGGGGACAGAGAGAAAACAAGGAGGTAAGAGAACATTGCCACCTCACCAACTGCCCGTGTGGCCGCTGCCAATCGCTGTGCGGAAGAGGGACAGTGTCAGAGCTCACGAAGAGTCCCTGTGAACCCCCAGAAAGGAAGCAACTCACCTGCCCACTGGAGAATACGAACACAAGAGCTGCTCCGGCAGCGGTCATTGCCCAGGTAAAGAAGGTCCCCAGCAAGGCCTGGAACACGGAGCTGTAGCCTTGCAGCATGCTGGATACAGCTGTGTACAGAACAAGAGAGTCAAATGCTGAGGGGCCCTGAAAGCGACATATGCATGCCCCCAAGCCCCTGCCTACGGGGCTTTCCATCAGAGTAGGTGGTGTGCACCTTCCAGTCACCCCAGTGCAGTAAGCAGCCTTGCATCCGGGCTCCAGGAACAGTAAAAGTCAAGTAACTTTAAAAAGCGACCTGAGAACACTGGGAGAAAGCGGCCAGAAAGCCCTCCCGAGAGGTTGCGGTACTGGGAAGTTGCTCAAGAGAGAAGCATGAAGAGTCTAAGCTGCACACGGTGGAGGGCAGGGGCCATGGAGATCCTGCCACGGCCTTCCCCACTCATTCCATGCACCTGCCCTTGCCCGCTACTTCTTCTCAGTCCATGCCAACGTGAGCCTCTAGCTCAAATTCCCTTCTAAAGAGCCTCCATCTGATTCCTGCTCACGCCTTCCCGGCTCCGCGAGCCAGGCTCCACTGACAGCCCTTCACTCCTCCATGGAGTCTCAGAGCCAAAGTCCAACAACGCCCCGTAGAGGCACCACACTCCCATTCAACTCAGTTCCTTACAGCATCTTTACAGACCCAGACAGCCATACCTCCATGGCTTTGCTCCCATAAGCCCCTTCAGGGATGCCTTCCCTCCATGGCTCCTGCCCTCTGAACCCAAGAGCCTCCTCTGAAGCCCACCTGATGCCAGCTCTGTGACAAAACATTCCACAGTCCCCCAGCATGGCCAAACACATATCCTTGCTGCTCTCTATAGGGGAAAGGGATGCCTCCTTATCTCTCCTGAACTGCTTGAGGATGGAGATCATGCTTTGCCACAGGCTTGTGAAAAGGGACATGGGCACCTCCTGGGAACCACTTGTTGAATGAGAAGGAGCTAGCTTACCTGGACGATAGAACCAGAGAGCACAAAGAAATAACATTATGAGCGGCGCTTGCCCTGAATGAAGCTCAGCACTCTTGACGGTGATGCGGCAGAATGGCCCACCAAGAAAAAAAAAAAAGGGCCTCTCTTGTGTGGGTCCAGAGAACCTCCTCAGACTTAGCCATGCTCAGCACTGAGGCCATAGCCAGCCCACCCCCTCCTAGCTCTGAAGCAATAGAGTCAGGCTTCTCCTGTGGAAAGTTCCAAAGCAAGGAAGTCCACTTGAGAAGCAGCCCTGTGCCCTGGCACACACTAGGTGTGGGGCCTCAGCTGAAAGGCCTCATTCAGCTCCCCTTTCCCTCTCCAGCACCCACAGGACTGGACCTGGCCCCATCTGGCTTGGCTCCCTCAGAGCTGAGCGGCCAGGAATTCCATGCCTGCATATCAAGGGCTGAAGACGTTCCCACTGCTGACCTTAGAGGAAACCATGGCAGCTTGTGGACAGGGCCCTGTACCCAATCCACACTCAGGAAAAGGTGTGGGCTCAGAGGAGCCCAGCTGGGCCCCTGTGCTAGGTCTAAGGTAAAACCACCAAGTGGGTTCAGACTCCAAATATATGCAACCTTTTACCATTTCAACAGGACATGTTGTTATGAGAACCGCGCAATCAAATAACAACAAAAAGCTCCACCAAGCCTGACAACCTGAGTCTAATTCCCAATACTCACATGAGGGAAAGCACCAACTTGCTGCCCTCTGACATTTGCACCATGGGAGGCACAAGTCCCACAGACAAACACTACGTAAACAAATAAAAAGGCAGATTGAAAATGCACTCTCTCCCAAATCTCACCATGTTCAAGTGAGTTTACTATTTTGTTCTTGGCTGTACTCGTCTCTATAGTGGGGTGCAGCTTGAACACCCCTGAGGTAGGCACTCACGACAGTGGCCTGCACAAATTAACAACTAAAAAAGAAATAACTGCAAGCAAACAATTAGCCATCCCCAAGTCCAGCCACGGTGACACATGTCTTTAGTCCCAGCACGCAGAGGCCAGTGCAAGCCGATCTCTGTAAGTTTTGGTCTACATAGTGGGTTTCAGGCCAACCAGGGTTCCATGGTGAGAGCCTATGTCCAAAACTAAAACAGAAAAATGAGAGGGGCTTGCAACTGTTTCTAAACTGAGCCCCTCCCTGGACCACTAATACAATGATCATTCCCAGTTGCTGGTGAGTAAAATGTTAACAGGTTACAAAGACAGAGACACCAAGCTAACATCCCCTCAATCCTTGCTATCCACAAAGTACCTGTGTCTTTTGACAGCTACTGGTTAAAAGAAAAAAAAAAAAAATCCTCATTTACCCCAGCAAAAATCAAACAGAAGGGAGTTGTGGGTGATCACGGAGGCTGGGAAGACTGAAGCCATACCCGGTCCCTCCGTCCACCAGCAACAGCAGTAATGACAGGCGAGCCCAGCACCCCTTGGAGAGGTTTCTTCCATTCACTGAAAACTCTGGCTACTCAAAGGCAGTGGAGGGCCACTAGTTCTGGTCCCCTGGGAAGGGAGCTACTTAGTTCCGGTTTGTTTTTAATGTAGCCTGGAACTTCCTGTGTAGCAGAGGATGACTTTGAACTCCCAATCCTCCAGCTTCCACCTCCCAGATGCTGAGGTTACCGGTGTGTGCTAGCACGCCTAGTTTATCCTCCATGGGGAATTCTTGCACACAGCTAAGTGCATAAATCCAGACCAGTTTCTACACAATGAATGGTTTAGTGAGGCCTACCCTATAGGAGACTGACACCAGCTGTCCCAATATGCTCTTAGGAACAGGACATGCCAATCACACTTCCATATCATGCCAGGCAGTCTGCTCCGGACCTCCCTCAAGGGCCGGCTATTAGCATCATAAAGTGGACCAGTGACCAGGAGAGAGGACCATCCTCGGCCCATCCTAAACTTCAAAAATGTCATCACCCAGCTGTGCGTTTTCACTGCACAGAGCAGCCACCTCCTATAAAGCCGGCACATTTCCTTCAGGCCTGTTCTGTTCTGTTTCGTTTCCCCTCCTCTTTTAAACCCGTTGCCGCCTCCTTTTCGAGATGCTGGTTTAGTTACAGTCAGGCACAGTCTGGCTTCAGTGAGCTCACACAGAACACGCAGGCCAGGCTCCAGCAGAGATGCCCTGGAGACAGGCGCTGAGCTGCCAGGACGAATGTGAAAAAGTTCTCTACCAGGCACCCCCACTCTCGGGCCTCCCCAGACCAGCTGCTGCGGGGAGTGGGAGGGACCAGACCTCAGAACTGCTGCCTTTGGCTCCCAACGATCCCTCGTTCCCCCTACACACCACCATGAAACAATGAATGAAGAGGCCCTTGGCTGTGCACAGAGGGGCCGCAGATCGCGGTCTCCAGCTCATCCTAGGGGTGGAGCAGAGGGGACCCGAACACCCTCCCTCCTCTGCCACCTGCCACAGCCCCCTGCTGCTCCTCCAAGACCTGCGTTCCCCAGGGCAACCCTTTGCCATCTCCAGGCCGCTGCACACTCTTGTGACTGCCAGGGACCCGGGGCCTGGAGGAGAGAAAAGGCGACTCACTAGGGTGCCCTCTCCAGCCCCCTCTCCACTTCCATCAGCCCCGTGTGCCACTGGCTCGCCGGGCTCCACTCCCGCTGTCACTTCCTGCTTAGTTCCAGCAGCACACGTGGCCTCCACCTCCAGGCCCCGCCCCCCGCAACCGGCGAATCCTGCCTGGAGAAAAAAGTCTCTGGTTCACAGACTTCAATGAGCGCGGAAACAGGTGCGGGCGGGCAAAAATAGAACCCCAAGGCCTCAAATGCAAAGCCCAGGGCCAAAGTCAAGGCAAAACACATACACACGGCCCTGGAAGCCTAGGGGAGGATACAGACACCCTACCTAAGAGACGCTTTGTACCAGTTCTGACGTACTTAATGTAGTCTACATCTTTTGTCACGGGTCCTAAGCCCTCACTGAACAACAGGGCCCTTGTGCTCAAGTGTCAGATGTCATTACAGTCTACATTCCGAAGGTCAGTGGCTTTATCCTAAAGGTCAACAGCTTCCTTTAGAAAGACATGGACTCTGCATTCTAAATGCCTGCAGTCTTTCACTTTGAACCCAGCCTTGCCAATATTGAGGACCGGTTGAGGACCAGCTGAGGACCATACTCTAAGAAACACTGCACCAGGTCAGGGACTTTGCATTGTAGGGCTTCTGTGAAAACATCATGACTAGATTTAGCTGCAACAAAATGAAGGCCAGAGTCCTGATTCAATTTGAATGTCAGGGAAATATACTAAGAAAACAAATAATTTCTTAGTTTAAGCATGTCCCGGTGATGTAGGGGACATACTTACACTAATGTCGTGTCTTGTTTTGTTTTGTTCTGAAATGTAAAGTTACTGTATTTGGCAACCTAGCAGAGAGGAATCAGGGCAGAAAAACAGCCTGCCACTGGAGCGGTCATAGATCAAAGAATACACACATAGTGGTAGGCTTCCTTTACCCTGTTATGGAATAACTTACCTTCCTACTGAAAATCAGTCCACACACTTAGAGATGAAGGAAAAACTCTTGTACAGCGCTTCCCCAGCTCTCCGCTAATGCCCATCACCCCCCCCCAGCAGATTCTGTTACTTGGTGTACGTACAGTTATATGCACCCTGGATTGTGCATTCTGCATCCGCTGTCAACCTTAAATCTCCTTCGGGTCCTGGACCCAGGTGACCCCTGGAACAATGAAAACAGAGACAGGAGACTACAATTCCGGCCGCTTAGGCAGCTAGGAGATTTACACAGCAAAGATATTACATATTGCCAGAATTATATTTTAAGTACATCGGAGTTGTTCTTTTTCGAATGGTTGTTGCCTGGGGTGATTTTGTCCACCTGCCAGAATTAAGGCTTCCCTGATGAGAGCCCAAAGGATTTAATGGCAGATCTGGATTTAAGGGTAGTAGCGACCTTACACTGTATCCGCCCCTACCTCCAGCTGCCCCTTAGAGATATCTCTTTGGTTTGGGAAAAACCTAGAGGCCGGTTGTGAGACAGAATTATCTCCTTTGTCAGAATCAGAGTCTAATGACTTGGTGAGAACGAATTCACACCCTAGCATCCTAGGTTTCACTCTTTTCTAACAGGCCTGTGGAGTGAGATTTTGTTTGTACTCTAACAAATAAAGTTTGCCTGAAGAACAGAGTGCAGAGCTAAGCCACTAGTTAGCCATAGAGGCCAGGCAGTGGTGGCACATGCTTTTAATTCCAGCTCTCAGGAGACTGAAGCAGATGGATCTCTGTGAGTTCAAAGCCACCCTGGGCTACATGAGAGTAAAACTGTCTAAAAGAGAAATAGAGCTCACATAAAGGTGGTCCCAGCACTTGGGATCCCATGCCTTTAATCCCAGCACTAGGGAGCTGGAGACAGGAGTGATATGGCTGAGCAGAGAGAAAAATATAAGGCAGGAGGAGACAGGAGCTCAGTGCAGTCTGAGAATTCAGTCAGAGACGCAGTCTGAGGATTTGTCTGAGAATTACGTTTTGTCTGTCTGAGGTAAAGATAGAGGTAAGTACTAGTAGCTGGCTGTTCTGCTTCTCTGGGTTTTTATTATTAAGAAAAAATAGAATTCATGTTACAGGCCTGTTAACACACTATTTATCTTTGGGGGTTTATTAGGGTTTTTGGTTTTTTTTTTTTTTGGTTTTTGTTTTGTTGTTTTCTGGGGGGGAGGGGGAGGTTTGTTTTTTGGTTTTTTTCGAGACAGGGTTTCTCTGTAGTTTTGGAGCATGTCCTGAATTCGCTCTTGTAGATGAAGCTGGCCTCTAACTCACAGAGATGCTCCTGCCTCTGTCTCCCAAGTGCTGGGATTAAAGACGTGCACCACCACTGCCCAGCATCTTTGGGGTGCTTTAGAGGCCGCGCTCCTTAGTTAAATTCCACTGTGTGACTTACTGTCTCCTAAGAAGATCCATTAGTAAGTCCTTTATAATACCAGTTCTATCACTTCGAGTTTTCTCTACATCAGTACAGCAAGAGTCAGCTGCTGTTGGTCAACACCAAGAGCGCTGTGTCAGGAGGAGATGACCTGGAGGGTTGGTCTTATGCCCTCAAGACACTCACCAGGCCAGGGACAGTCAACAAGGCAAGGTGCCACATGTCTGTGATCCCAGGACTTGGGAAGCTGAAAAGTGAGGGTATGGTTAAAAGCCAACCTGTCTAAAATCTTTTTTTTAAAAAAAGTAAACAAACATCGAGCCCCAAAACAACTTGTTCTAATAAACAACACAAAATAAGACCCAGGGTCAGGGCCACAATACTACCCCCCACCAAAAAAGAAAAAAAAAAGGTCCCAGGATTCCCCCACTAAATTAGTCATTACATAGCACAATGCCTTGGCTTCACACAAAAGTCTATGGAAAGCTGAAGTTGAGATTGAGCAGAACTGAGCACAGCCACAGACGCATCCTGTTGAAGCTGCAGAGCAGCCCCATGCAGGTTCACTGCATTTTCCTACTTTTATACACATTGGAAATGTTCAGAAAGGAAAATTAGCCAAGTTTTTAAATCGACCTACAGAGCGTCTCTCCCGCCTGGGCCCTTCTCCCTCTTTCCACCGATTTGAGCACACCGTCTCCCGACTTTTTTCTGGGGTCACAGACATACCTCTTGAGACCCACCCTGCCTCACCTGTCCTAGGCACCTGGTTACCCTCCAGGGTAATATGAGTCCTCCTCCCTCCCTCGTCCTGGATTGCCCCTTTTGCCATCTCTACTCATGGCCAGCCTGTCTCCTCATTCCCCACTTTAATTCCCTGCATCCATCAATGCTCCAGTTAAACACAATCTCCTGTTCTAATCCCGGTTAGAGAGGAGGTGTTCATCCTCCCAGGGACCATGGAACGTCACGTGGTCTCTAAAAAATGGTCCTGGTTTGCTTTCTCTTACTGACCAGGAACAACTTGGGGCAGGGTTTGGGGGGTGTTCCAGATTCCAGTCCACAGCCAAGGGAAGTCAAGGCAGGAACTGACGCGGAGTCCACAGAGACATGCTACACCTAGGCTTGCTCCCCCTGTTTGCTCAGCCACCTTTCTTCGCAGCCCGGGACCACCTGCCTAGGAATGGTACTACCCACTGTGGGCTGGGCCCACACACATAATCAGCAATCAAAAATTATCCTGTATATTTTGCTACTCTTTAGAATTTAAAACACCACACAAAAAAGTGGAGGCTCCTGGGTTTAGTTGAGATCCAGTAAGGCTAAGCTACTTCCTCCCAGCCAAAAGAATAGAATCTAAGCGTTATATACCTGCCTTTGGGTAAAGCTCCAAAACATTATGGTCTACGTTCTCCTCCCGTTAAGAGTTAATCCAACTGGCCCTATTAGTCACCCAGCCAAGAGTCCACACCCCACACATACACCACAACCATCACCAAGAAATCTGAGTCACCTAAAGACATTGCCTAGGAGAGGGGAGGATTCATTATGCCCATTTCCTTCCCAGAAGCCCTTTCTTTAGTCAAGCTCCCTCCTACCCCCCCCCCGTCATTCTCTCTCTCTCTCTCTCTCTCTCTCTCTCTCTCTCTCTCTCTCTCTCTCTCTCTCACACACACACACACACACACACACACACACACACACTGCTGCCAAGCTTCTATAAGACAAGGCTACACAGCTTCTGACATGTGGCTCCTAACTCTTGACAAAATAATCTTTGCCTTATTCTTCTTTCCACCTCTTTTCCTTTCAGATATGGACCAAAGCCTGGGCATGGGTTCCCTGACACTCTGGAGGTTCTCACTCCAAGGGAAGAGGCCTGGCTCTCTCCTCCTTCACCACCTCCCTAGTCTGAGATTTACGGTTTCCCTGCTCTATTGTTTCTCTCTTAAGCTCTAATGAAATCACCCTTTGAGTCCGCTTCTAAACTCTTTATTAACAAAACTAAAACCTCAAAAGAGAGTCCCAGCTTCCCCCAGTAACACTTCCTTACTGAAGTTGTGTCTCTTCTGGTATTTTGGTCACAGAGATGGTCACAGTAACTCATGCTGATGCAGAAGGGAGGGAACTTTGCAGCCTCTCACGGCAGGAAAATACTAAGACCAGCCTGGAATCCACCATGAGATCCTGCCTCAGAAAACAAACATCAAAGAATCAACTTCCTAACAACAGGTGGTGGTGAGAGCTGGGAACCGCCATCCCCACCTTACAGACAAGGAACCAAGTCTCTGGGAAGCTCTGGAGGGACCTGCCCAAGTCACCAGGGCAGTGTGGGATACCAGACCCCACTCAGTGGACAGGGCCATGCCTGTGCTGGACATCTGGCACTCTCAAGACTAGTCCTGGACCAACTGAGTAAGAGAACATCTCAACACCTTAAGCCACAAGAGTGTCCTAAACCAAGAGAGCCAATCTGCAAGGATGCTTTTATCTTCACAGAAAATCCCATGCACAAATGTGTGGGATTCCCCTCTGTATGCTATAAATAGCTTCCTTTGGTTAATAAAAGAAGCTGCCTAAAGACATTGCCTAGGAGAGGGGAGGATTCATTATGCCCATTTCCTTCCCAGAAGTCCTTTCTTTAGTCAAGCTCCCTCCCCTACCCCCGTCATTCTCTTATCTATATGATATTGCCTTATTTGGGTTGGTTTCTACTGCTGTGAAGAGACACCACGACCACAGCAACTTTTATGAAGGAAAACATTTAATGGGGTGGCTTACAGTTTCAGAGGTTTAGTCTATTATCATCATGGTGGGACATGGGGGCCTGTGGGCAGACATGGTCCTGGAGAGGCAGCTAAGAGTTTTACATCTTGTGCAGGCAACAGGAAGTGGTCTGTCTCACTGGGTGTGGCCTGAGCATATGTGAGACCTCAAAGCCTGCATCCATACTGACATGCTTCATTCAACAAGACCATACCGACTCTAGCTAGGTCACACCTCCTAATAGGACCATCTCCCTTTGGGAGCTAGTCAAACCACCACATTCCATTCCCTAGACCCACAAAGGCTTTGGAGCCATATCACAAGGCAAAACTGCATTCAGTTCAACTTCAGAAGTCCCCACAGTCTCAAATTTATTTAAAAGTCTAAAGTTCAAAGTCTCTTCTGAGATTCATGCAATCTCTTAACTATAATCTTCTGTAAAATCAAAAAGCAGACTAGATACTTCCAATATATAATGGCACAGTATATATGTTACCATTTCAAAACATAGGGAAGGGAGCATAGCAAGGAAATATTGGACCAAAGCAAAACCAAACACCAGCTGGGCAAACTCCAAATTCCTTTCAGTTTTGTTGACTACAACACACCGTTTTTCTCTTGGGCTGGTTCCACTCCTGTTAGCAGCTCTCCTCAGCAGGTATCCCAGACTTTGGCATCTCCAACATCTTGGGGTCTCCAAGGCAAACCAGGCTTCCTCTTCACAGCTTCACACAATGGCCTCTCTAAGCCTCCAATAAGGGACACCCCTGACACAAACCTGGGCTCAGCAAGTTTCCTTAGGTGCAGAGGCAAATTTCATAACCCATTTCATCTATCCTTAACTCTAAAGCCAGAACCATGTAGGCAAAGCTGCCAAATTCTGCTGCTTACTGGGGCTGGAACATGGCCCCTCGTTCAATTACAACTTGGCCAGCTTTCTGGTTTTGATGGCTACCTTCACTGCCTAAGCTTGATTGTTCTGGAATTTGCTCTGTAGAACAGGCTGGCCACAAACTCAGAGATCTGCCAGCCTC